TACTTGTTTGTGGGAAACCAAGGATTCTGGGCAAAAATATCCCACAGAACAAAAAAAAGAAGCAGAAATGCCCCTTCATCTATGGAAAAAAATAGGACATACAGTTTATTGTAACTTCTTTTTCGTCGTTGCTATGATAGACAAATATCTTCCTTTCCCCAGAATATTCCCATTGGAAACATGACAAACCTAGAAAGCTTGGCTTTCATTGCTTTCATATATTTTGAAGAAAATAAATCAAAATAAAAACCTATATACTTTCACAGAACAGTGCAATAAATGACACAAGTGTTTCCCCTTAAATACTGAATTATTAACTGAAGTTAATGTTCTCTGGTTACTTAACAGCTATACATGACAACCATGTCTGCAGCATCAGGGCTTAGACAAGGCTTCAAACAAATTGCCACGTTGTTGAGTGAGCAGTTTTAGTTCAGATCCCTCTTCATTTAAGACCTAACTAAGACAAGATTTGGTCCTGCAAACTGTATCTTGTAGGTATAACCATGATTGGCATACTCTCTTTTATCTCCTTCCTCTACTCCCACATCCACAAGACAACCACAAAATCTATCATTAACTCTGCTGGAAAACTCTTAAAAGCTTTTCAAAATATTTGCTTTCTGAAGGACTTAACAAAAGACTTCCTGGAAGTCCTTTGGAACTCCTTAACAATTTTAAAATATATACTGATAAAGAGATACTGAATTATTAGTATATGTTTCACAGGGTTAAGATTAAATTGCACTCAGTACAGAAATTCAGAAAAATAACTAAGAGGCAGGACTGAAACGTGTCCAGTCTTCCAGGATTGTCAGTGGGAGAAGAAGTCAGGAAAGAAAAGTACTTTCTGTATAATTCACTTGTTGTGCTGACGCTAATTGCAAATTCTTTCAAAGAAGAAAAGGGAACGTTTCCTAGCAGCACTCTTGGACATGTAATACTGGATTTTACGGCCCATCTTCAAAGTCTAAACATCAGCCGAGGCACCACATAATTTGTGCCATTAAATCTTATGAATAGCTTACTGTCCCAGTTACAAAGATGCTGATCCACTGTTAAATCCCCAAAAGTGTTTAGAAATCCAATTTCTTGTGCCTGTTTGCCACTGGACTGCCTGTGCAACACAACAGGCTGCATTAGAGTGAATGGAAGTATTTGCCTGAGATTGTTAAAAGCATTTCAAACGTAGCATATGTCTGATTTGTATCGCCTACCTGTATATCTTGTGTATCAATACGTAAGACCATTTGGATTTATATATGCTAATGAAACAAATAACAGAAGCCCCTGGAAGTGTGGGGAAAAACTGCAGAACGCTAATGCAAACACCCATAGGCTTAACTCTGATCTGAACTTTAACACCTTTCTAAAAAGTCACTTTGTCAACAGTTAATAAAACAGATGACTCTGAAATGTATGTTGAAAGATCTCCTATAGGGAGATGATGCAGGTTGGTGCGGTGTCACAATCCGTAAGTGTAATCAGCAATAAGGAAAGTTATATAAACAAGTTACCATGTCTTTAAAACACATGGAGACTCCCTCCCAAAAGTCTCATGAAAATGCCATTTAAATGAGATCCTTGTTAAACATTTTGGGAATCAGTCCGCTGGGTGCGGTTATCCAACCTCTTGTGACTATTTTGACATGGGCCATGTCTAATTAAATGATAAATACAGCATGTAGGTGCTATTATAATAACTGCTGTGGTAAACAGTGATTTAGTATGAACTAGTCTTATGTGTTGTTGAAATCTTCATCTGACTCATGGTTAAGAAGAAAAAACTCTGTTTTTAATTAGATGCTCTATTTCAAAGCATGGAATCCTTAGTGTTAGCTCAGCTGGGATTGGAAAATCTTCTGGAGCTGCACTTCCACAATGAAAGAAAACCAGGCTGAAACCTCTTTCCTCTTTTTCTGATTAGAAGGGAGCCAGAAACACAAGTGCAACAAGTTGTAACATGGCTAGGATGCCTTCCCTTTGGATCAGCCCTCTGACTTAACAGTTAAAGGTCAGTCCTAAGAGTCTAATCATGATATCCTTTGGAACTAGATTTAGGGTGAAGATGAAACACCGGCATCTTATAAAATCCCAAGTCCAGATATGAGGCAGAAGCAGAAAATCATTTCCATTAAAACTGAGTTCCAGTACATATTCAATGCAAACATGGTATCTTGCATCACACATTTGAACTTTTCTCCATGAAAAATGCAAAACAAAAAAACCTAAAGGTAAGAATTTATGAAATAAAAACATACAGAATTATAGTAAATAAACACTATCTGCAAGCTTCTAACCGGATGTAGTTACGAAAAATTAATTGTATCCTCAGGTACAGACAGTCAATTCCACCTGAATACAGACATCTGAGTTGCCTTTATCTGAGGGAAAAATTGTAGTATTTTTCCTATTTTCTAATATAATCCCTTCTTCCTGTGAGCCTATGTGGCCCTCATATTTGTAGCACCTGAGCTTCTACTTCGGGAATCTTCTTCCACACTTACAGTCTAATAGCACTTCAGGCCAACAATTAACCTCCTGGGTGCTATTTAGCTATT